CATCAATTCTTGTTATATGCCGACCTGAGTTTACCTTTCATTGGTCATCAGACAACAGCGTTTTGATCTGGGAAGTAAATCAAATCGCTTACAAATTTCAAAATGCCTTAAACATTAGAAACTGTTCTATACAGTCGAATGTTTCTTTCGTACAATATAGCGTATTTCCAACTACAAGAACTGGAGCAAAATTTCCAGGCAGGCAATCAGGGGCCAGCAGTCGTCAATGGAAAGAATTTTTGAAATGCGGTTCAGTCAAACATGACCTAATTTTCCGTAACACAGCATCATGCAACACTAAAACTAAAGCAATTAAAATCTAAAACAGACGACTGAGGAACAAAAAACATAATTACTAAAGCATAACTGAACGTGGAATACAAACCACCACTAAAGCAGAAAGGAATAGAAATGCTGTCGAATAAAACACTGTGAATGGATTTTCATAGCACGTTTTCCGTTACAGCTACTATGGGCGCATGAAAAAATCTTAATAGTGATGGTAGGACAGAATTCAAAAGCAAATGAATTTTGTAGTGCAGCATCCTCCAAAGGTTATAGAATCGTATTGTCACTTCGCCCCGCATTGAAATGTGATGTCTAGATTGGAGTTCTGAACCCCAGCAGCTAGTACATGCTCAACAATGTTCACCGTGAGTGGACTAAGTTACTGATAGGTAACCCAAAAAGATCTTGCGATGGGCGCTTGATAAATCCCAAATATTTTCCTTTTTCTTTTCGTAAAACTAATGGCGATCATACAACAACGATCCGGGTGTTAACATGTATTACAATGCGCATCGTCCATAACTAATTAAACCCGAGGCCATGGTAAAAAGTTCAAAAACTGTAATCAAATAAACTTCGAAATACAAAGAGAACAGTGATAGTAGCCCCACTAACGAACACTATCAAGGATAGGTCGTATGTTCACTCGAAAACAGGGCGCTAAGATTGCTAGATGTCTACCGACCCATTATTCCAATTACTATAAACTGAAACTCAGTAATTTGTTGAATATATTAGGTGCAGTTCAATTTGGTATATTATGCGGTGTAGCTTTTGCTCACAGAAGATGAGTATATATTCTTATTATATTTGAGGTACTATAACAACTCACAGAAAACGAAGCTGGGAAAGTGTCTGTGTTTGAGAAAAGAAATGTTTAATTTAAAAGAACGGACAATATGGAAATTTATGAAATTAAGGTATTATACAATGCTAACGAATAGGTCATTGCAAGTCTGTGTAAGCCTGGGTTCGTGTTCATTCTTTAGCTCAGATAATAATAGAAGACCGAAAGGATACGGCTACATTTTCAGAGTTTAATGCACCTTGACATCGGAATTTACAAAGCATGTCGAGTATAATAATTTTTGATGCACACATTCAAAACGAAGAGGAAAAAAATTTTATATTGCAGGTGGCGAAAAAAATCATGAACTGAAGTTCGTACGTTCATATCGTTTCAGCTATCCTATTCATTAGCCGTGTCTACTTATTACAGAACTTTTCCTGTTTTCCTTCGTCCCTATCACTGATGGCCAGAACTCACGTTTCGGTGATTCGATGGTTTTCGAAAGGTTCGTGTTCACTGGTTGGTCATCATCTATAATAAAACCTGATTTGACTCAATCTCGCTGACATCCATTTTTTCAGCTTTATCCAACGGAGTGGTCTTATTATTTCTTCTAATCACCATATTTGGGCCATCGTAGGCCGGTTGTAAAGGACGTTGCACAATATTCCTTCCAATAAGTACATGGGTGCTGTCGCTCAGTAGTTCTGGTATGTATACCCGGTGTTGATGTTGCCTTAGAAGCGTTATTACTAAATCACTCATATGCTGCTATAGACGTTGTACATAGTTGGCTATATCAGTTGTAACGCTTTTACCAGAGGTGAAACACCCTCCTGGTAGACAAAGAGTAGTTTCACAAACTGACTCTGCAAGGCAACATCCTACGTCTTGCTTAATTTTCGACCTTAAGCTCAAGCTCCCTGACACTATCATTAGTGCTGAAAACAGCTATAAGGGAGGCTTTTAGTTTTCAGGAAAGTCTCTTTACAATTCTGTTCTCCTTAGGATGGTAGGATGTTGTGCAAATACGTTTGACTTCCAGAATTTCTGTGAGTTGTTAAGAGAGTCAACTTTTCAGTTAAGCCTCTCTATCGGTTACAATATTGGCTGGCAATCCGTGAAAAGAGATCCAATATTCAACCAAGATTTCAGCCACAGTCTCAGCTGAAATTACTCTAATGAGCGACGATACCGGTCATCGAGTGAATCTGACATGCCTCGTGTAACATGCAGTTATTTGAAAATGAATATATCATTATTGAAACTGAAGGCATTTGAAATCGGCATCGATCCCACAGTGTCATAATGCTTATGCTCGAATCTGCTATAACAACGATGGAAGCTAAATTCTGAGGAACTGGTACGATGACGAACTATGATTTCTCAGTATTTTATCTATGTTTGTGTCACGCTAAGAACATCCCGATTCATAACTGGCCAGAAAAACTCTGGCTGGTTAGACCTATCGTGGCTTTTTTTCCGGGATGTGATATATTACGCACACCCTCCTAAACCTTTCGTCATAACGGCTTAGGAATAAACAGTCGCGGTAGGCCTGCAGAAACTACAGACGTTATGCTTACGTTCTCGAATCGAATTTCTTTGACAACCAAAGAAGTTGTGTTGGTTGAAAGTAGTCTGTTTAAACCGATATCCACTGTTTATAATTCTGCTGATTTATGATAATCAACTTCGTATTGAATGAGAGCATTTATCATCATTCTGGATAATGCATCTGCTATTTTGTTATTATTGCCTTTAATATATGGTATGTTAGATGTAAATTGGGAAATAAATAATATTAATAGTAGGATTTCCTTCAATAAATAGTAATTTTGCTTGGCATTTAATGCTTTAGTGAGAGGATTATGATCTGTATACACTGAGAAAGTTGTACCTACAAGCATACATCTGAAATTCTTTATCGCCAAGTAAAACGCCAGCGTCAGCCAGTTTATCGATTTTTAAGATTTTCCAAGTTGCGTGGTTAGGTTCAGTAGATTTTATTAATTTACAACAGGAATTTTTTGTTCGTTTGGTATATAGAACCTTTTTTAGTGCCAATTAACTTCAGTTCCAATTGTGTTAGTAAGTTACGTGAAACCACGGTCAATGAAAGCAGATGCTAATGATACCACGTCCTCAGTTAGTTGAACGAAATATCAGGATGTTTGGAGACGAGTTAAACAGGAAGCTGTGGCTTCGTAAATTAAACCAAAGACGGTTACACGATATACTCAAGAGAGCATATCAAACACCGAAATCTCCCAAAACTTCTTCGTGGAATGATTTATCTAACTATGACGGAACAAGTGCTAGTTTCCTCTGAAGTTCAGCTATATATTTTTACGAGTCTTCTGCACAACTCTATGTTAGCAGTAAACTTTGTTTTTTGACCTTTGTTCACTGTCTACACGCACATTTATGATTCTTTACAAGAGCAACTGAAGTCGGATGAGAAATTGATTGTGGTTGAGCTTCGTTCTGTGAGCCGAATGGTTTGGTTTTGGAGCTTTCATTGTTCTTATAAACAACATCATCTCCACGAGCTTCAGATAGAAGTCTGTCTGAACTTAAACATGCACAGCTTCTGAAACCACGTACCGGCAGTTGCCAATACCTGGTATGTGTTTGTCCTATTCGAGCAGGAATAGTAGAATATGTAACGAGCAGCATGTTGTGAATGATGGCAGCAATGCAAATCAGAAAGTTTCACATAAGTAAGTGTTTTTAGTACAGTTAAACAAAAGGAGTACAATAAAACAGTCATTGTTAGAACTAATAACAATAATAAAATTTTCCATTTCGCCAAATGCGTTTTCTTTGTAGAAGTATTCCACTACAAGCGCACGCTCAATAGTCCACAACTTTACCAAATCCGTGCTATGCTCAGTGATATGGTTCTTTTCATTCACAGAATACCTATTGTCAAGATCGATGCGATTCCAGTAGGATTATTCCACTCTAATGGCTTCACACACTCATATCCTAATTTAGAGACTTCAGTAGTCTGATCATAGCTAAGTTCCTCAACTTCATTGAATTTTTTTATAGTGTTTGAAAATTAGGAGTCATCAAGTAGGTGGAGAAACAGTTAGAATCCAATACGCTTTTATCGCAACTTAACGAAGGAAAAATTTTTCTTCGACGTTATCTGAATCTTGTTTTTACTAGAAGCAAACAGTCAAACTGTCATGGGCATCAGTGTTATTGGTAGAACTGAGAGAAAACACCCAACTGACACGAGCTGTTTTAATTCAAGACTGTTAGCTTGATAGGTATGCTGATAAGCTCTCACTCGGCATGACACGGATGTAAACCGAGATTTTTTCCTAGACACGGTATCACGTTTTATAAACTGGTCTGTACCTTAGACAGTCCTCCAAAGTTACAGTAACAATACAGTCATAAGAAATCGCGCTCTCCAAACAGTGAGATTTAATAAATACTGGTTGGCGGAATGAGATCAAATTAATAGCAACAGTGTATGTAGTCAGTTCAAAATAGCGAGCAGTATGGTCCAATAATTCGTAGGCTAGAACACATCAGATCTTTTTTCAAAGGATGACGAATTTTCAGACAATCGGTCGGTAATATTTCCTTCATGACCCTTAAGAGTTCTGCAGTTCTTAATATGCGGCACGACTGCTTGTTAGCCTTAAACATTTTGTTAGTCCGACAACACGATTAAAAGAAGGCTCGGTCATGTACTGCTATCATACTAACTGCAGGAGATAGGTAGACAACCATCAATGATCACAAGAAGGTTGATGTGGTCAGTAATGTGTCTCAGCATATAGCTTGAAATGTTAAGGATCAGGTAACCCTTAACTGACTAGTTTACTTCACGTCATAAGCTTGAGGCAAATTCGGTTTTATCTGAAGATATTTTTATATTGTAACTTTGTTTTACCAGCCCTGGAAATCGATTCAAGTTTGTGTTCAATGTCCAATAGCTTCTCTACGAGTTGGTTCAAACCAATTGTTTTCTTTGTGTTAGCTTCTCATTGTTCTAGGTACTCGATAATGTCCAATGAATGGCAGCTTTGCAACTCGATGTCGCTAATTTTAATGAGTTGACAGTTCACTGCGGATTTGTTTCGAATTTTGAGTGTTTGAAGGGGTTTCTAGTAGGTAGGGGTTTCTAGATACCAAAACTTCCACATTTACTTGCAACATGGAGCATAGTGAGGAAATAATTCTAGTTGGTAAAAGAAAAGGAAATTTTCACTACCATGTAAATTATTAGTTGTCATTAAATTAGTAGTGACGATTGTATTAGGACAGAATTGTAAGCAAAGGTGAGGAAATATATAATAAGCCAGATAAATCAAGTGAGTGATCTGGGGAAATGACAACGGTAACAACAAGCAAGTTTCTAAACATGCATCGGGTCCGGCCGGTACAAGCGGTAAAATCAAGACACTAACTGTCCATAGTTTCACTTCCCAGATTTCGTCGATCTGAGACGTGATTATTGTTTGTCGCTATTCTTATGGGGCGTGATTGCTTAACACCGTCGTTAAGTTTCACCGAATAACTGGCTATGTTGAACCAAAATTCCAAGCTCCCGATTCTGGATCATGCAGCGGTTTTATCGCATTCTTTATTCTCTGTCGTCAGCCGCAAACGGAGTTTCTCATTCAGTGTTGTACGGCATCGGTTATACCAATGTTTCTGCTTAGGTCGTAATTAAGAAACTCCTTCAAACGTTTTTATAGAAATCTATGGCTATGATTTAGACAAACGAACTGTTATAATAAATATCTGTTCGACACTTTCGCAATTAGTAAGTTTGGCATGAATGATTATTCCGAAACCCTCTGTTCAGGGTTTAACAGATTGTGTGATTCCAAGTGCCTTTGACTTGATCCGAATAGAATTTTCAACTAACCTGAGTATGCTAGTTAGCCTGAAGGATCGGTAGATCAGTCAGCTACAGCGTACAACTTCATACGTAAGTACCATACCATATTGGCAGAGAGGATGAATTACCCACTCAGATCCCATAGTAGCAGAGTTAGCAAAAGAATTATCTGCAATAAGTTCAGGGTTCGAAGAGTTTTTCAAGAAGTATAATCTAGTGACATAAATTTAAAAGAGGAGAAAAATAAAGTTGATGGGGTATTCAGAGTATTAGGATTCTAGATAAAACAAATAGTGGACGCACCTTCGCCACAGCTATGTGGTTCAAAAGCTCTAACGGTCGGTTACGTTTTTCTCACAGACCCCAACCTTGAAGTATAAACCTACACCAGCTCTCAGTGACTTTACTGGTAGTCTTACTAACGGTCGTATTTCTAATACTAGTTTCTTTGATTAGTCTGAATAGGTTTCTGCTGTTACCTATCACTACCACCTTTTCCGTCTTACTTTCTTAGCTATCATTCCGTAAGCTTCTTATCAGCCTGAGCTTAAGGTGACTCCACACATATTCATGTTCAGACAGCATGTTTCCGAGCCCCTATCAATTCGGTAGATGCTGCTGAAATTCACTGCTTCGTAACCTTCATGTTTAACCTGCTGGCAATATCACCACTGTTTCCACAGCTTTTTGGATATTATTTCAAGCTGCTTCAGGGTGGGCATCACTTACATAGCTGACTGACTAGTCTTCCTTCATGTATACCTTGGCTTCGGTGTTGTTAAGGTGAATTTTAAAGAGTATGCTTGCTATGTCTTCCTTACGTCCAGTATGACGCAGACAAATACGTGCTCGCACTAGAGCATGATCTATGTCTAAAGATCTCAAGAAAAAACGGTAGTCTTCTATGGAGCCTCTTTCAGTGGCTAGTAGCGATGTGATCTAGTTGGGTCCGGCGTTGAGTTGACTTTGGGGGTCGCCATGTCTAAAGGTGCTGTCCCTTATGCGTAAAAATGGTTCTTACTGGAAAAAGGCGATCATCTAAGTATAGTTGAGGCAGACCGTCGCGACTAACTGTTCTTTGAGCTGCTACATCACAAGACCCACTCAGGTTTCGTCTTGCGTCGTCTACCTACTTGAGCAGTAGTCGGCAGCCACTATTGCAGAACTTTCTGTAAGACTCGTCTAAGAGCGTAGGCAGAGACGATGAAGAGGCAATGGCTAGTCTCCCTATTTTAGTCGGAAGACGCACGAACGATGATCTATAGGGATCTAGCCTGAGAAAGCTAGTTTTGCGCTGGGACTCAATGCTATACCTACACCAGCGAGGCCACAAGAAGCAACAGGAGGGCTTCAGGATACACTGAACGTAAGCCGAGTTGGTTCTTTATCTGGACGAGGTGAAGTCGAGTGAGTGATTTTATTTGGCTCCTGTAGGCGCGTCTGGGAGACGCAGCACCAAAGCAGTCGTTTCGGACAACTGTGGATATTATTTCCTTTCATTGGCTGCGAAGCATATCTATGTTCTTTTTACATCGATTCCATATTTTCCAGTATCCGAAAAATGAATTATCAGTGACCAGCAGACAAAAATCCCAAAAGTGTTTCGTACGCCGCAGTAGAGTACGGATTCACCTGTCGATTGACGGAAGCCATTGGATGGGTATAAATGTTACAAACTCGAGTGTGGCTTTGCAATTATTCTTATTCTCTAGATTTTTAGTATTTGTCTTCAACTGACCAATCTGTTTAGGTAGCGCAGTCTGTGATAATCGAAATGGTAGCCTGTCAGATATTAGGACTAGTTGAAACAGTTTAATTCTGTACATTGTCTGAAACCTAAAGTACGGTACTACGCTGTCACTACTAGTTTCATCTCTTCTTATTATCTAATATCAAGTTTCGTCATTGTTGATTCTGTTGTTGTACCATGCGCAACCGATGTTTTAGAAATACCTATGATCTAAAATCTTTAGCCTACGCGTGTCTTTTCTTTTTATAGATCATTTTTCACAGCCATAGAATGATACAGAACGAAAATAACTTTGTACTTCATGCTTTTTCTATTAAATTAGGTTTTTTGAAGCAATTTTCTTCTTGATCAAAGCGGATTTGTTTTACAAAATTTAGTTCGTTTGTTTGAAAGCATGTCAGAAAATTTACCTTTTGAGAAGAGTACCCATCCCAGTGCCGTTATGCTCAAATACAAGAAATTATCCGATCAGGCAACAACTCCTTCTCGTGGATCACTCTTGGCTGCTGGTTACGATCTTTACGCTGCTCATGAAGCTACCATACCCCCTGGAGGTCGTGGATTAATTAAAACTGACATACAGGTGAGCTATGTAATCATTGTTACAGTAATCTCTCATCATTCTGTTTTGTAAAATCTGTTGTAGATAAATGTAGTCATTCGAAACCAAATATACAGATTCTGACCTCATACCCATGGTCAAAATCAAATTACTGTTAGAATATTTCCCACCGAATATAAACTCAATGACCACTACGTATGCCAATCTTGACCATCTGTACCAAGCAGTGAAAACTGGCCCTCAGAGACTACTTAGGTGTAGCTTAACGACAAAGTGTATCTTTAAACACAAGTCTGGACGTAATAGAAGGTTGGTTATTCAACAAAATGCCTGGTTGTTTAAGTAGCTAACATTTGCTAAATTTTCAGGTAAAACGTAAGGCACCAAAAAGTATATTCATTACTATCTCACTACTTTCTGATACAGGATTCTATTTTTTCTACCTTGATTAGACTCTTTGGGGAACCTGGAGACACTTCCCCCAAACTCTTTTCAGACCTGTACGTGGCTGTGTAGACCACTTATTCACACTACGTCAGACCCTAGAAAATAGACAAAAGTTCAGACGTCCTTAAAGCGACATTTGACTCTTTTGATCGTAAGATTCTATCGCAGTATTTGTCACTGAAAGGAGTACCAGAAAAGTACATTAACCATCTAAAAATCTCTACTCACACAACTTGCCGAGTCAGAATTTATGAAGAACTGTCAGCGGAGTCGATTTCTCCAAGTGATATTCGTCAGGGTTGTCCACTTTGTCCATTCTTATTCAACTTTGTCGTAGAGATGCTTTTAGCGGTAACACTATCCTCGTCTGACTTTTCAGGAGTTGAACTTATACTTGAAGATACCGATGACATAGTTCTATGTGATGAAAACTCTGACAGAATATAGATTTCGGACCACCTAAAGCAACAATCCAAGCATTTTCGGGATGTGGTTCTCCCCCTCAAAATGCAAAATTTTGCTTCAAGATTGTCATCAACACCTGAATTAATAATGATAGGAAGTGAAGTAGTTGAGCGCTTCACTTATTATGGGAGTGTCGTCAGTGCTGATAGCCTGGCATCTGATGAAATCTCGAACGCAAAAGGCTTGACTAGCGTTTGCCAACCTGCGTCATTTATGTCGTAGGTGAGGTATCCGTCTTCTAAACAAATGAAGAGTCTTCTGCTCAGCAGTTGAATATATATCTTCGAACCGTTGACCTTTCTATTACCGATGAAACTTCTACTTCATCTACCACTATGGTATTTGGATTGACAATTGCGTCTCTGTGCTAAAGTAGTGTGGCAACTTGGACTGATGGACGTACAAAGATGTACGTTGTAGCTAACTGACTGACTTTGTATAGTAGTGGGTGACACATTTATGTACGTTTCAACTATTATCGACTACTTAATACATTTAATCTCAGTGGTTGGTTATTCTTGGAATCTTCAACAAATCAGAGCTAACTTCCAAAAACGTCGAGCTGTCGCTTAGTTGTATTGGCGTTCAACAGTCACCAAGTTTCAGAATTGAAATGCGCTCAGCCTACCTCAGTTCTGGCATCAGATAGTATCATTAACCCTCATGCAGTATAACTTACAGCTATATACTTAGTGACGAAGCTGATTGTTTTTATTCTGTCACAGCTAGTTTTAATGTTCATTCATACAAAGAAGCTATTAACTGCATTGTCGTTTGTCTACTCTAACTAAACACTCAGAATGTTTTTATCCAAATTACACTTACTAATTGTGTTTTGACTATTGTTATAAATTACTCCAACATTAGTTCCGAGAATAGCATAACTTCAGTAAAGACTGAAATTACACATGTTAACAAAAAAGTGATAATACACAAAAGAAGTTTTATTGCTAAATATCCTGTGTTAACTTTAGGATTTTATCTGTCTATATTCATGATAAGCATCGTTTTGGTCTATATGTGCAAGTGGTCAGTCAGTCAGATGCAACGTAGAACTTTGTACATAAGTACATCAGTTCATGTTGCCATACCACATCAGCACAGAGATGTAATTGTCAATTCAAATCCAATAGTAGTAGAGGTAGTAGAAGTAATATGTGCAAGTGGATCTTATTCATTAAGACACAAATTCTGAAGTGAAGGCAAATTCCCAAAACTTTCATAACTGTTAACTTCAAACCAATAACATGATTTTCATATTATGGATCTATTCGTCTTTCCTGCACATCATTGTCCTGTTACTAGATTAATTTTTTTGTGCTGGCTGCACAAGCTCCTGCATCATATATAAGTGCGTATGTGTGCCTAATTGCAAAACTGTCGCCTATTTTTCATTTTTTTGGTTCAACAGATTGAATTACCGGAAGGCTGTTATGGTCGTGTCGCTCCACGAAGCGGACTAGCCTTGAAACAGGGGATTGATGTTGGTGCTGGTGTCATTGACCGAGACTATAGGGGCAATCTTGGGGTGGTACTTTTCAATTTTGGAGAACAAGATTTTCAAGTAAGTTTATTGTTTCCCATCATTTACAATATGATAGCTTAGTACATAACTACTACCTAATGTAATTTTTCCAAACTATTAAACAATCAGAAAACATTAATTTTTTGACCTATGTGGACTTGTTTCCCTGTTTTAAGTGGACCATTAAATTTCATTGACTATCTTCATTGACTCGCTCAGACCATAAAAAATATGGTTTCATTCAAAATACATTTAAAAACTGTCCCATGTTAGAGGCATTAATTTTAGTGTATGTTATCACATGATCTATTTTTTCTTTATGTCCCGTTTTTAATCAGGTATCTCGGTCATTATGTACATGCTTTTGATGCTCCGGTTCGGTCTCCCAGGTAGTATTGCAGTCCACTCACAAATTCAGAGGTGTAGGAATAGGTTGGGAGAAAACGAGGGGCGGCAAAACCAAAACGTGGTACAAATCCATGAAGTCACTGACAAGTGGACTGATTCATATTGGCAGATGTAGGCTACCTGGTTGAGGTCCCCGAGACGAAAGTAACCGATGGTTAGAGACCTTGAATGACATGGCTCTAAATCATTTGCGATGGCGTGTTCTCTGAAATTCTCATCTTCACAATTCATCGTCCTTGTCTTTCTTTTACCAAATTTACTTCTCGAATAATATCTTCGAACCATAATCTTCTCCAATACCGCCAATACTTCTACTATCTCTACCATTATGGGACCTCAACTGACACTTCTACGGTATGGCAACCTGAACTGGTGTATGCACGTACGAAGTTCTGCGTTGTAACCGACTGACTCAGTAGTTTGTGTGGCGCATAAATATCTAGGCGCCCCTTCGTATCAGTGCTCGTGTTTGAATAATTAAGTGTAAGTTGGCAATGCAGTTTAGTCCTAATGGTTGGTCAATGGCCCCAAATTCAAATCAGTAACTGTGATGGAAATTTTACTTTTATATCAATCACTGACTGTAAAAGGGTGACCAACAGACAACCTTATTCAGCTCATTGCTCATTAAAAAGGCCTTTACCTTTTGTGAAGTATCTTCAATTACCTGGATAGTTTTTTGGAAAAGTGGTGTATACTGCAGTACACAGTTACATGTTACTAGCGGTTTATTGAAAGGTGAGTAAAATCCATAGTAGACTTGGTTTCTCACTTTTATAAGATAATCACTTACGACTGCTTCGATAGAGGACTGCCGCTCGTTCTGGATCACATGTTTAGATTCAGATCATGCCCTAGTGAGAGCGCCTATTTGTTTTTGAGGCTTACTGGACGTAGGAAAGACGCCGTAAGGGAGCCTCTTAAGGCTTTACTTAATGATAATGAAGCTAAGAATATATTTCAGGAGCAACTAGAAAGAGAGTTAGCCAACCATGTAAGCGATTCCCATTGGGAAGCAGGTTGGAATGATATCAAGAAGGCTGTGGAAACAGCAGTGATATATGCTAGTAAGGTAAACCATAAAGTTAGAATGCAGCCGTGGAACTCAGTAGCATCTACCGAACTGGTGGGTGCTCGGAAACTGATCCCGCCTGGCTCTGAGGAGCGGAGTCAGCTTAGCTGGAGGCTGATAAAAAGCCTACGCAATGATCGAGAACAGTGATGGGTGGAGAAAGCGAGAGAGATGGAAAAGGCAGTGGCGATAGGCAACTATTTAGACACCCACCAAGGAAACTGGTATTAGGAACACAAATGTGAGTGAGACTATTTCGGAAAAGGATGGTCTTATTATCCATTCTCAATCCAGGAGACTGGACCGATGGGCAGAACACTTTAGGGATCAGTTCAACTGGCCTCGAGCCACTCTTCGGTTACCCACGATTTCCAGTCATCCTGAATGGCAAATCGATTTAAGTCCTCCCAGTGTACATGAAGTTGAGAAAGCTATAGGAAATCTAAAGGGAGGTAGAGCAGCAGGTCCTGATAGGCTTACTCCTGAGCTGCTTGAGTATGGTGGTCCAGTTTCGACAGTTAGACTGACCGAGATCCTAGGTAGAATCTGGGAACTGGACGTAATCCCATCTGACTGGTCTCAGTTGCTAATTGTCCCAATCTTCAAGAAAGGACAAGAGTCCCCTTGTGACAATCACAGGGGAATAAGTTTAACTAATATAGTATCTAAATTTTTAGCCTCGATTATACTTAGACGTCTAACTAGAGCTCGTGAAGAGCAGACTCGAGAAAACCAGTCTGGTTTTCGACCTGGACGTGGTTGTATAGACCACATCTTCACACTACGACAGGTCCTGAAACACACACATTTAGACGTCCGACAATAGCCGTGTTCCTGGACATAAAGGCGGCATTTGACTCAGTGGATCGTGAGGTTCTTCGGCAGTATCTGTCATTGAAAGGTGTACCAAAGAAGTACATTAACCTTATACAAGCTCTCTACTCGAACACCACTGGTCAAGTTAGAGCTCATGGCGAACTGTCACTGGAATTCTTTACTTCAAGTGGTGTCCGTCAGGGCTGTCCACTCTCTCCATTCTTGTTCAATTTACTCATAGCCATGCTCCTAGATATAACCTTATCCTCGTCTGAATTTTCAGGAGTGGACCTTCTACCAGGAAAATTGCTTACTGACCTACAATAAGCCGATGACATAGTTCTATCCGTTGAAGACGCTGACAAAATGCAGAGTCTTCTGACTACCATAAGCAACAATGCCAGCATGTTCGGGATGCGGTTCTCACCAAGACTGGGTTGCATTGGCACCTGAACTAGTGATAGGGAGTGAAGCAGTCGAATGTGTAGACCGCTTCACTTATCTTGGTAGTCTCATCAGTGCCGATGGCTGGTGACTGACGAAATCTCAGCTCGGATACAGAAGGCTCGACTGGCTTTTGCCAACCTGCGTCACTTATGGTGCAGGCGAGATATCCGTTTGCTGACTAGCGGACGAGTGTACTGTGCAGTGGTTCGCTCCGTCTTACTTTATGGCTGTGAAACATGGCCAATGAGAGTAGAAGATACTCGTCGGTTGTTGGTTTTCGATCACAGGTGTCTTCGAAGCATTGCTCGTATATCGTGGGACACCCGAGTGAGCAACGCTGTTATTAGGAATCGGCTGCTAGGTAAGAATGGCAGATCAATCGATGAAGTATTGAAACTTCACCAGTTGAGGTGGTTGGGACATGTGTTGCGTATGCCGAACCACCGACTGCCTCGACGAGCTTTGTTTTGTAGTGTAGGTTGGAAGAAAACTAGGGGCGGCCAGACCAAAACATGATAGAAATCCATGAAGTCATTGACAAGTGGGCTGAGTCATGTCGTTAGTTGTCGACTACCTGGTTAGGGTCCGCGAGATGATAATAATCGACGGTTAGAGACCCTGAATGACATGGCTCAAAACCGTTTGCAATGGCGCCGGTGCATTTATTCATTTTGTTCTCTCAAATGCTAATCTTCTGGATTCTTTAACACCTCTAGTTTTGTCTTTAAACTCATCTCACTCAATCATACTTTTCGAATATTATCTTCTAATCCTTACCTCCGATTACTTTTAATACCTTTACTACCTCTACTACTATCGGATTTGAATTGAAAATTACATCTCTGTGCTAATGAGGTATGGCAACATGAACTGATATAGTTACGTACGAAGTTCTACGTTGCATCTGACTGACTGCTACTTCTAATGGAGCCTACCAGCATTATCCAACCCGCTCTGTCCAGAGCCTTCCCACTCTACCCAGTTGCTGTTCATTTTTTTTATCTCTGCCTCCTACTCAGTATAATGTGTCCTGTCTTGAGAATCCCAAGTTAGGACTTGCGTCGTGATGCAACATGTGTCCTGTCCGCCTTCACCGCTTTTTCTTGATATACTCTTCTGCTGCAATCTAGTTTATTCTGTCTAATATTAGGTTGTTACTGGTGTTTGGTTAACGGATCCGCAGTATCTTACGTAGAGCTCAGGGAGGTTTGGGTATTGGGTTAGCGTCTCCATTCCAAAAATAATTAACTCGCTGAAAAACGCTAACCGGAACAAATAATTTAAACCCTTTAGCAGTAAATGTAAATGCATAATAGTACTCCTTGGCATTCAAGCTAACCTTACACTGATTTCTTCAGTTTTTGGTACTGACCGTGATTCCGACTATTATAATATCTTTACCTACATATATGCTGTCGTTATTGCCCCTAAGGTTCTACTGGCGGAGGACAGCTAACTCTTTCGAGGTGAAGACCGGTGTCAGGCAAGATTACTTACTCTCACCCTTTCTCTTTCTCCTGGTGATCGACTGGATTATGAAGACGTCGACGTCTTAAAGGAAGCACGATATCCAATGGACACCTAGGACGCAGCTGGACGATCTGGACTTCGCAGATGACCTGGCTCTTCTATCGCACACGCAACAACAAATGCAAGAGAAGACGACCAGTGTAGCAGCAGTAGGTCTCAACATACATAAAGGTGAAAAGCAAAATTCTCCGATGCAACACAATATGCACCAACCAAATCACTCTTGATGGAGATGCCTTGGAGGACGTTAACACCTTCACATATCTGGGCAACATCATCGACGAGAAAGGTGGATCCGATGCAGATGTGAGGGCGCGGATTGGCAAAGCAAGGGCTGCATTTCTACAGTTGAAAAATATCTGGAACTCCAAACAACTTTCAAACAAAACTAAAATCAGGATTTTCAATACAAATGTCAAGACAGTTCTACTGTATGGAGCGGAAACTTGGAGAACTACGAAAGGCATCATCCAGAAGATACAAGTGTTTATCAACAGCTGTCTACGCAAAATACTTCGTATTCGTTGGCCAGACACCATCAGCAACAACGAACTGTGGGAGAGAACAAACCAGATTCCAGTGGAGGAGGAAATGAGGAAGAAGCGGTGGAAGTGGATAGGACACACACTACGAAAATCACCCAACTGTGTCACGAGACAAGCCCTCACGTGGAACCCTCAAGGCAAAAGAAAAAGAGGAAGATCAAGGAACACATTACGCCGAGAAATAGAGAAAGATATGAAAGGAATGAACAAACATTGGACAGAACTGGAAAGGGAAGCCCAGGACAGAGTTGGTTGGAGAAAACTGGTGGGTGGCCAATGCTCCATTGGGGGTAACAGGAGTAAGTTAGTTTTGCCTAGGTTTATCCTTTGTAGAGGGGAAGACACGTACAGTTGGTTTGAACTACGAATGTATCTTCATGTTGAAATTTTTAACGATTGTGCTTGATATCCACTAAATTTTGCAAATGTCATTTTTATTTCAGGTAAAAAAGAACGACCGTATAGCGCAACTGATTTGTGAACGTATTTACTGTCCTGAATTGATCGAATGTGAATCTTTGGCGGAAACAGAGCGTGGTGTAAATGGTTATGGTTCATCTGGAGTGTAGTACCCAGTAATTTTCTCAAAATCAAAATATTTTTTATAAGAAATATACGGCTATTATATTCCACGTTTATTTATGCCTGTTAATAACCTTAAGTTACAGACCGCTCAGTGTTAAATTAAATCAGTGACTGGAAAATAAATTGGTGTTTGCAAAGCTGCATCTTCCATTCAAGTTTAGATGGTGGCGGTCAGTTCTTGTCCAAGCGGCAATACATGAGTTGTATGAATGTTCATTTGCTTAATTACTAAAGACGATAGTTCAGCATATAGCGATCGAGGGAATGGGGAAAACCTTAGCACCACTTTTTCATCAGTTATAAAGTCGTTTGACAAGTTTCCGAATCTGTAGTCTTAAGTGGACAAGTGGTGTGCCAACCTACTGTTGGTCACCAACTGCTACTGGACTGCATCCTCTACCTTGGTTTGGGCAGTCGTGCAGCATCTCGACCAGCACACAAACTGAGTGAACACTTCAAAATGGATTATTGCTTTCGTTCCATTCCTCATTTTCGGAAACTTTATTCGCATATATCCGTTAACATTCATTTTTAGTTACGTCGTTTGTGTCACTTTCTCCTTTTTATGTATTCCTTAATCGTCATCACATACAGCAAGTTGCTAACAAAGAAAATTCCGTCCTATCCAAACGATCTGAGGTCATTCACTGGCCGGAGTTTGGACGCTACCACTGAGTGGAGACTATAATCTAGTCGTCTTAAAATTAGGCATATTATTCGAACTGGCCTCCAGCGTTCGGACGCTAATATAATCTGGACAAAAGTTAGGCTGTCCATATTTTCAGAAAGTCTAAACATTGATACCTGTTCTATCTGACGCCCGTATGCAAATCTTTAGTCGAATACTACAAATTCGGTTTTCGTCTGTCGCCTTCAAAAGTTTGTTGTGCGTGCACTTCTTAACGACTTTGGCATTGGCTTTGCTGATTTTTGCGTCAGACTGAGCGCTAGGGCTAAGACGACGCCAACCGATGGGGCCCTTGATAACAGGTGATTACGTGCTATTAAATTATAAGGCTCTATTAATGTGAGAAGAAAGTACTAGGTACAAATTATTCTCTGAATGCAACCGAAGGCCCTAAACAACCGGTTAGGCGGTCTGCAGAAAGTAGGTTTAAAAACAATGTTAATGGGTGGATTAACACTTGATTTACTAGAGAAATCACCCTTTGTTATATACTGAGTTCAGGCATAACTCATCTGGAATTTGTGCCAATCACACGGCTCCCGTAGAAAGAGACTATATGTTCAATCTCATAGTACGTGTTGTGGTTACCTCCAATAAAAGTATACTACAGATGCCCCAAAGACGTGTTGTTAGAAAACTGTATAAACCAAGGCTATTACTTAGCTAAATGCAGTAGTCAAGAGAATTAGATAGATTCAAAGGGCACATATATACATGAATAACGCTGTTAGAAACGCACACAACATCGAAGAACAAACAGTGTAACACCTACCACTCTTGTATATAAGTAAAATAAGTAGTCGGAAAGGTCACTACATCGAACCTCCCGGAGACAAGTGCTGGTCCTAGCCTGATGAGAGTCCTAATTGGTCGCCTTCAACAGTTTAGTGGTGTAGCATTGATCTGAATGTACAGTATACCAAAGTTTACGAAATGGTACGACCATAGAGACACTTCACACCAACAAAGAGTTCCAGTTTATGTGAATGAAGATTATTAATTTATTATCAGTTAGTACAGCAAAGAAATTGGAATGAATTACAAAATGTCGATTAATTCCACGTCAAATTTCAGCGTAGCTTTCGGAGGAATGACACCTGGGATACCCGCAGAACCATATGCACTTTCTGGGGGGCATGTTAGGTAGGCGCGGTCCCCTACACCCATTTGCATCACGCCTTCATCCCAACCACGAATTACCTATAAGAATGAGATTTTAACACAGAACATACTTTTCCCGTACCAATTACAAATTTGAATGGTTCCTTTCTGTCCCGGGAGCTATCAAATTTTTTACCATCAGATAAGGTGCCAGTGTAATGAACAACAACTGTTTGACCTTTCTTAGGGAATCGCTTCCTATCACCTTTCTTGTAAATATCAACTTCGACGCTCATACCGTGGTCAGTATTTTGCAATGGCGGTTAACCTCGACGTAAAGGCTGTCCAAAATAAAACAAGCTTCTGGTTAAACAACGGGACAGCATATCTCATTCACTAAATAACGTAAAACAACTAATGTTTCACGGCAGTTCAAGATTTAGTCTACTACCTTGTCACATCATTGTATGATTGCCTTCGTAGTAAGATTCTATTTGAAGTTGGTTCCTATTCAATCGACCATTTGGACTATTATTCAAGCAAACATTGTTTCTATCACTAATTGTATAAAAAGTTGAAGCTGTAGAACATACAGTCCCTATTTCTGCGATAACATTCCTCTTATTCGTATAAGCATAGCGACTAAAAAGCTTACCAATAGTGGCACACTCTGCAATCGCATAGCTACAGTTCAAGCGAATAAGTTTAATCTGTATAAACTGGAGGATTCATTATGTAAATAGTTGTATTGTAGAAAATATTTGTCCGAGATTTGTACAATAAGGCAAGCAATTTAAGGTAAAATAATCATAGTACACTACATGTTTATGCTCATAAAATATAACGAATAGGGTAATTCAAACAAACATTACTCCATACAGATCACTAAGTCTGTAACCTAGATGTTCGATATCAGTTTCACTAGCTAGTATAAAGCAAGTGATTTCTTAGGGCTCACTTGTTGTTTCCATACGGTTCCAGGTATTCAGTAATCATATCACCAGGCTGGAGACCGGTCATTTGCGATACGGAGAATAATGAGATAAATTTCTAGTGCTAATGAAATTTAAGAACTAAGTAGGTAAATGGGTAGGTTAGTTAGCCGGTAGTAAAGTTACTGAAGGGACTGAAATGTAAGGTTAAGATTGGAAACACAACAATAAGCAAGATAGAATAAGTTAGTTTTCCAAGGAAATAACAACAAAAGAGTTTTAAGATATGCACCAGACACAGTTGGTCTAAGTGCGAGATGATAATCGATAAGCGAGTTCGTTCTTTGACGTGAAATTCTTCAAGGGGCGTGGCGGTAATGAACTGGTGGGATGCTCATGTTGTGGTGATTCGGCGTGCTTAGTATGTTGCATATCATTATCAACTCAGCGGGAATAATATCAAATGTTGGAGTCTGTCTTTGTAAGGTTTTATTTTTTTAACCATATCACTCATTTAGTTGCTCGTCTCTGCACTCGGTCCAAACATTCATGTCTTTATTGAGTAAAAGGGGTGTGCCGACATTGTGAAATTCAAGGTGTGATCGTGCGTGTTTTAAAGAAAGTTGAAAACAGTTCTACGGTGATTGAGACAAGTTCTCTTCTCTTGTAACATGTTTGCTATTTGAGAATAAATTATTATTATTATTATAAAGTGAAGGGTTGCTTCAGCCTTGGGTGCATTCCCTATGTAGTTTGAAGTGGTGTTTAGGCTTTCTGTGGTAATTATTCTGAGATCGCGCTCTGAGGAGACATTAGGAAGTGGATTTCCATTGAGGATGTAAGTTGTTTGTGTCGCGTGTGGAAGAATGTTCATGACGTGAATTTTCGACTGGTTAAGTTCTAACCGGTTGTCCACTGTCTATCTCTCTATTGTCATAAGGACCTTTTTAGCTCAGTCGAATCCTGTTCGCTTCTTATAGATCTCCAGACCTTTGCATTATCTGCATAGATTAATGCCGCTAAGCTACTTTTATCTAACAAGTCCTTAATAAATATCAGGAAAGGGAATAGACCTAAGATCCCCTGTGAAACTCCTGATATTGAGACTCACCAGCTCGCATGCACTCTATTTACTTTGGTACGAAACTTTCTGTTCTTTAATTGGTTTCTGAGCCAAAACAGAAATCTATCAGTGAAGCTCATCTTCTAAACCTTTGCTACCAGCGGTAAATGGGGTACTGTGTAAAAGGCTTTCGCGAAGTCAAGGAATATTGTATAAACCGGCATTTTTTGGTCCCAGTAGGTTATCCAGTTGTACCATACTTTGATATGATTGGATGCGTATGATATGTCTTTCCTAAAATTGTGTTTTGATTCATGAGGATGTTGTTTTTCTGCATGTACTCCCTGGTTCGCTCATTAACCAGTCTCTCCATTAAGTTCCTCGATATTGAAAGTAATGCGACTGGTCTGTAACAGGCTGGATCCTTTCAATCTCTTCCTTTGCAGATTGGAGAAAAATAAAGCTGATTGAACGGTAGCATCGTTCTGTTTCTTTGGTTGGCTGGGTTTCGCGTACTGTTACTGCTTTGAAAAGGCCAATAATGTATATAGCCAATCCGCCTCCTTTTTACCCTGCCGTATTTCACCGGAAGTTCCGGACCCAACTAGCTCACTTTGTTGTCTGCATGACCAGGCGATATCTATGTTTCAGGTAAAATCAGGTTCTACGGATTCATTGAGAGTCCGTATGTCTGATTTTCCAGTTAACCGTATTGTGTTGTCTGGCCGCCGCATGTACTTTAACTTGATTTCAACAGATTTGTACAGATAGGGTATGTACACAGTCAAGTCATTGGGTGGTTCGCAGAATTCCGAAGTAAATGTTTCGGAAAGTGTAGGTTGGAATGTGCCCTCACTGGTCCCACTCCTATTTGTTATTATGCGAATTTCAGATGATTTTATGGTAATAATTTATGTTCTATTCGAGGCTCTATTTTTCACATCCTCTTTAGAAACATTATTTCTGCAAGTCCCTTTTTTACAAACTTGCCAGGCTTTTTCAAGTTATGAAATATGGGCTAGGCACCAAAACGGAACACTTGACAGTTATGGAGAAAATAGCACTCGAGATATCACTCTATATGACGATCCTTGCCTGAAGCACCTCACTTAGGTCGTCCCGGTTTCTGAATGTCATAGCCATCGGATGCGGAGATCCAGTATTCCTGAAGCATAATGGACGAGGCGGCTGGGAGACATTAACTGCCATGGTTTATGCAGTTTATTCAGGAATAGATTCTGACCCTCAAAAAATTCAGTCTCGTTTGGCCAGGTTACTGCTCATCATAGTTCTCCAGCAATTGATAATCAAGGAGTATACATCACTTTGCAGGAGACTCGTCGTTGGTGGGCGACGCCATAAGGATTTAAAGGAGAGATGTTATATCTACCTCGGAAATTTCATGTCAAGTTCATCAGCATTCATGATTATGAAATGGT